CCAGTTCCGAAGGCTGGGGAGGCTATCCGAAGAGACCTGCTAACAAATGCTTATAGCCAATTTGTAGACGACATTTCAATGAACATATGCTGCTAGTTTTGTGTCGTTGCATCAAATGTGGACTGCAAAAACGTGTGATTTTACCTTACTTATTGAACGACCTAGTAGAATGACCGAATGTTTGAACATCATGTGTGTCAATGGAGTGCGTGGTTAGTTTGGTGATGATTGTGCACCCACTCATCCATGTTAACATTTTATATCTGTACCTGTTCTCATGAATAGCCACACTAGTGGATGAGACGCGATTTTAAAAAATACAATACGATACGTCTGCGGCTCTGCCTGATGATGACTGTTTCCCCAATAAATCCTACATTAGCTTGTCCTACTCCTAGTCCTATCCCACACATTACCGTAGCAACTCGACATGTTCATTCAGTCATTGCACACTTCAGCACCCTCACTGTACACATGCCCAAAAAGAGACTATTGGCGCTCTTACACTAACCTTCTAAATCTTCTGCTCAATACGGGATGCCGAGTCCAACCCAGGCACAGTCAGCACAAAACGGACAACTTCCCCACGCCAATGGCTCATAATGGCTCCAGGGTAATGCCATAGTGTCAAAATTGCCAGTGCCTTGAATAGACCATCGCTCATAATGTCCAGGGATTACATGGTCCAAATGTGGCCAACTGGCTGCCTGGATCAGCGGCCGTATAGACCAATGGTTGAATTGTCCAAGCGTCGGGAATGGTCTCCTCGGACGATTGGTAATGGGTCATGTGACCGTCCAAGTCCCGTGACCACGGCAGTCAGACGGAGTCGCGTGGAGCCACCACATGTCGCGTGCCGCTGGGTGTCTGAAGGGTGCTCCGGGCGGCACTGTGTAACAAAATATTGCTGACACTTTGCTTGGATTATTACCGTCGATCCGTCTCATGTGCAATGCCATTAGCTACCAATCAGTTAATAATCACCCCTCACCAATCGGTGTGCGATGGAGCGCCGCACCCTCCCCCCCCCCCGTGTGTGTACCGCGCGTGTATACGGTGTGTCGGTGTGTCCACCCCGGGATCGATGGGCCGCCGTGGGGCGGCTGGAACTGGCCCGCGGCACGACACGCGGCCAGGCGCCGTAAATCACTGACGGACAGTCAGCGGGTGTGGCACTGTGTCAGTCAGTCTAGTCCTACACGGAGCCCGTGGCACTGTGTAGGTCAGTCCAGTCCTACACCGAGCCCGGCCGGGCCGGGGGGGGGGGGTGCTCCATTCCGGTGCCCCACTCCGGCTGTATGTATTTACATAGGCCGCCGTTACACCACCGCCGCGCCGCTGTGACGACCTCCATCATCGCAGCCATTCGGCCGGCCGCGACACGTCCCGACGATGATGGTGGCGCAGTGCAGTAAATTGTTTATGACCGGGGGCTGGGAGCCGCATCCACTCCCAGGTGCCGGCGTGGTGTACACACGACCGCAACACAAACACTCCGGCATACGCCGCCGGCCTGTGCGTCCCGCTGACTGGGCGGTGACATTCTCCCCCCGAGGACGGTGACACCGCCCTGTGTCAGCCCTCGCTGACACAGGGAGGTGACATTCCTCCTCCCCTGAAATGTGACACCGCACCGCTCTGTGTCAGCGTCCCGCTGAACTAACGATGGCCCTCCCGTTCCCGGAGGAAGGCATCCGGAACGCCGCCGTCTCAACGGCAGTGATGGAGATGGGTCTGTATAATGGTCCCGCACTCCGAAAATAGACCAGCGTCAATGGGGAATTTGACCCCCGAGCTCGATAAATTTGGGACTACATTGTTCCTGAGAGACAAAATCATCGTCACTGGCGCTTTGGCCATATGATAAATAACTGCCGTTGCGCTTACCGCCGTAAACTTTTGCTCCACCAATTGCAGCCGACTTGTTGAACGGCCTCCTGAAGTTGGTACTGTTGCTCAAAGTTCCGCGCGTCGTAACTGGCTTACACTGCACCAGGGGCTGGCCCGGAGCGGGAGACTTTCTGCCTCTATTCGGCGGAATTACAGCGACTAAAACTTAGGACCCGGTTCCATGAAAATGTGTGCAGTATTGTGCAACTGTCCAAATGGTACAACAGTTAGATACTACCAAGAAATGTCTCCAAGAACTAAACTTTATATACTTTTGAGCTGGGAATTTAATAGCATCTCTGAAATGGAGACAGGTTTGTGCAGACAGACAGGTTTGAAGTTTGTGCATTCATTTATAAGTTAAGATGTACGAACTCCTTAATTCATATTTTATTTTGAATGGTTTGCCCGGCCGTCCAGTGTTGCCATTATTCCCGTTTTCGTTATACTTCACAACTAAGTAATTATTCGATCCTGCGCACGAGTACCAATATGGATACCCATTTAGTCAACTTTATCTGTGGATGGCCACGAGACTTTAATAATGAGTTACATTCTACCGAAGGTCGCTTCGCTTTAGATTCTGAACGTGGGCACAGGCGGGAAGATATTTAACGCCTGTGGTTATCGATAATTGGAATGAATGAATGAATGAATGAATGGTTGGATGGATGAATGGACCGCTGGATGGACGGATGCATTTATGATTTTATACAAGGTAAAAGGCAAGTGATGTTTTATCAACCACATTGAGAATGAGTGAAGCAAATAGGTAATAAATATAGATAAACCAAATGATTCCTATTACATACAGGCATGCTGCCCAATGTCAAAAATACATGAGATGGAGAAAAAATTGAACATTGGTAACTAGTTACTCAATACTGGTAAAGTGACATACCCCGCAGTGGCTCAAAATATGTATAGGGAAGACCGGGGCAAAGCGGCCACCCTAACGCTTCTTACGATACCGACACTTGATCTTTAATTAAACTTAGAAAGATTCTTTCTATGCCAATGTGATCCCTATTAAATTGGCTATATTTCAAACTCGTTTCATTTTTAAAGGCGCTCACATAGGTATAGCAGATATTAGTGGGGCAAAACGCATTAAAATTGGCAGACGACGTATGCACGTTAACCCCTCAATTCAGCAATGAGAACACTTAAACAAACTTCCAAACGGTTATGGCATAAAATAACGTTTAAAAAAAGGCGTAACAATATAAGAATAAAAAGAAATTCCTGGGAAAATATGTCATGGAAAATGGCGACCGGTCTGGCTCATTCGAACAACCGCGAAGAGAAGTATAATTGGCAACCATAAACTGGAGCTGAAGCCAGACGTGCTGGTACGAAGGGTGGCTGCTTTGCCCCGATCTCCCCTACAGCGATGCACTTATCAACAACATCCTATCACACTTACAAACATCAGGCCGGTAGACATTGTGTGACGTAACTGCTCAGTGCTCAGCAAGGCCCTACATACCCTGTTCAGTATACGGCGCCGTGCAATACCGCTGTGACAAATGGTTGGTGCCCCCGCGGCCACCAGCGTCTCGGCGGGGAACTGGCCAGCTAATGGATCATGTCGCTGTGATTAGCGCTGCCGGGGTCACGTACTCGGGCTAATGGAGCGTAGCCAGCCAACCTCCCCCCGTCGAGCGTTATGATCCGCGGACAGGTGTGCCGCGGTCGGTCGACCGAAACGACCGTGTTCTTTCGACAGATTATCCCTGATGAGCGATAAGTAGTCACTGACATCCATTCCCAGCTTCTTCCGCGTCCATCTGACATTGACAAGTGCTCTTATGTGGCGTGTACTCAATTTATATGGGCTAATGGACGACATCTTTTTCTTTAGGTGGCCATCCCATCCCGCTCTCCCGTTCATCTATCGACGGGCCTGGTCCGGCCGGTCTGCCTTCCAGATCGCGGAGCTGAGGGTCAGGTGGTGAATTTGTCGTGGTGAATTTGTCGTGGTGACTTTGAGTTCCGGCCTGTCGCCAAGTTCCGGATTCCTTTTTGGAACGTCATATCGCAGACAAGCAATGGACGCGGCCTGCTTACAGAACAAATATTGGACATTCAGCGCTATCCCTCACAAAATAAACATCCCGACGGCAGGGACAACAACGTTGAATAGGCAATCAGCGGCTGAAGTCCGGCTCCGCCCGGCTGGGGCAGACCTTTCCCCGCCAGAGAGGAGGGCCTCTCCGTCACTGACCTGTCGAAGAACGCCGCGTGCTCCTGTCGCCGTCGGTCGGAGCGGATCACCTTGTCGGTGGGCACGCGGTACTCCTCGGCAAGATCTGCCGACTCCCAAGACACGCCGCAGTCGGAGAGCAGGCGCCGGTCCGCCATCGGGCGCCGGGCGCTCCGGCGGTCCGGGCAGCCCTCCGGGCCGGGCCGGGCGGCCGGATCAGTCCGGGCAACTTCCGGCCTCGCACCGGCTGATTCCGGTTAACGCTAGACCAGGTTATGACGTCTAGTTTACACTCGGCCACCTTTCGTCACTCTCCCTCTATTTCACTAAAATGATATTCGAGTGGATGCCCTGACCCCAGTCAGCCACCGTTCCCTGTCCCGTCCGTCACTCCCCGCCGGCCGCGCCGTCCGGCGGAGTCGGTCCGCTCGTGCGGCCGTCGCCGGCCCGTCTGAACTCCACTGCAGTGCAGACGTCGGCCGGCCAGCACCTGTGGAGGGCCGGCCCCACCCGGCGGCCCCGCCCGGCGCAGACGCGCTCCTATCGACCACCCCGCGGTGTTCGGAGCGCCGCGCGCCCGTCCGGTGCCGCCCGCCGCCCCGGCGCCGTCCGCGTCGCTCCCGTCGCCGCCGCTCGCGGCAGTTCGTCGGCAGAGGCGTCGGCGCCGGCAGTTTGCGTGACGGCACACCACTCCCGGGGCTCGCCGATTTGGCCAGCGTCCGACGCGTCCGACGTCCGCTCGTATTTCCGAGATGTCATAGCGATACGCGGCGCGCGGTCCGGGCCGGTTGGGCTCTTCGCCAAACGTCCCTCCACCGACACGCAGTGTTGACGCCGCCTAGAGCCGGATCTGTGGTACCGAACTATGAATTATTCAGGTCTTTAGCTCACTGTCGGTGAATAATAGGCGTTCGGCGTGTATTATCAGACATTAATGCAATTACACATGCTGGATAAGTGACCCGTTGGTGGCACCGTACAAATATCGACATCAGTCAAAACACAGCGAGATTGGACCCTCAGTTTTGGTGTCGGACACACCCGGCGACTCAGGCGACTAGCCTGGCATATATCGCGGACATAGCTCTCTCACCGCGGCACCGCTGCGCTACTGACGAACCGTTCTAGCTCCGGCCTCCCGCATTTATCACAGCCAGAGCCGCCGGTTCCGGCACGTCGCCGCCACAGACGGCGCCCCAGGCCACAGTGACTTACAGTGACCCTCTGTAGGGAGAGGAGGGCATCTTCCGGCAGGTCGGCCCGGCCCGGCTGGCAGATGGCACTAAAGGTCTCCACATCGGCGTATGGCACTGTACGTCCCTGTGACCGACAGGCGGCGCTGCAGGTCCCTGTGACCGGCTGGTGGCGCCGCAGGTCCCTGTGACCGGTAGGCGGCGCTGCAGGTCACCGCGGCAGGTGTATGGCACTGCAGGTCCCTGTGACCGGTAGACGGCGCTGCAGGTCTATGTGACCGGTGGTCGGCGCTGCAGGTCACCACGGCAGGTGTATGACGCTGCAGTTCCCTGTGACCGGTAGGCGGCGCTGCACTGACCCCGTACCCCCAGTCCGTCAGGTGCTGAGCGCCGCGCGGCTCAGCGCCGCCAGCTGCTCCTCCTTTCGGCGGATCTTGTCCTCGATCTCGCGCGCGTCCTGGATCAGCTTGGCCTTGGTCTGGACAAAGTGCCTGTGGTCGGCGAGCTCGTCACTGCTGAGGTAGCGCTCCAGACAGGTGTCGATCAGCTGGCGGCGCCGGCGGACGCCCTCCTCCAGCTGGCGCGCCTCCGACAGCTGGTCCGACAGCTTGTCCCGCTTGCTGGTCAGCAGGGCCTGGAACGGGGGGCACGGTGCGGTGACTGAAAGGAGGGGAAACATGCTGGGCCAACATGACAAACGATGTCCCGAGGAAATGTAAAAAAAAATCGGAATCTGAAAGCCTTTCGGTCTGCTATTCCGAGCTGCTTTTCCGAGCATTATTCCCTTTTTAAAATGAAGTTTAAATTTCATGTAATTAGAATTAAGTATATCGACTACAACGTCCACTTTATCCGCGCCTCTATTCGCTGCTTCATTATCGCTTGATTTGGCTAGTTTCTGCTAATGCGGCTAATTCCGTTTGATCACGGCAGTAAGGTCACTTTCATTTCCGGTCTCTCGAGATAATGCGACTAATGACCTACACTGCAGTCTGCAGGTAACGAGGCTATTTAATCGGTCAGCCGACCGCCCAGTAACTAATACTACACCCGGGCTATCCCAGTCGCCGTGGTGTGACAGCACTCCAGTTGGCCGGGGCTCTCTGACCAGTGACCAGTCAGCTCCGATCACTGATCAAGGCTTGGGAGCTTTCATAGGTCCTTGTAACACTTTCAGCCCCCGCCCAATATCCCCTGCATGCACTACATCAATGCCTGAGCACTGAGCACTGAGCAGGCCATCCTACCAGGGCGCCGCGCCACGGTCAGGGACCGTACCTGTCGTTCCGCCAGCTGCCGTCAGGTGTCTCTGCTCACCTTCTCCTCGGGACAGTGCGGCGGCAGGGCGTCCAGGGCGGCCTCTGTGCGCGCCAGCCGGCCGGCCAGACCCAGCAGCAGGCTGGTGATGGTGGACACCTGGTCGACGGCGGCCCGGTACCGCTCGGCCTCAGACGGGCGCGCCAGCTGCTCCACGCGCGCCGCCACGGCCGCGCCCAGCGCCGCGTTGGCCGCCGCCTCCTCCTCCACGGCGCGCTGCTCCTCACGCAGGGCGGCCAGCTGGCGCGCCAGTGACGCCGACAGCTCGCTCTGAGGACAGGGGGTGAGCGGTGACCCTGTCCCTGACAGTCGACAGGGGCCGGTACTGAGGGTACTGTCCCACAGCCCAGGGCCGGGACTGGGTACTGTATGCGACACTGTGTGGTCAAAGAACGAGTAATGCTTTTTCTTTCGGTACTTCGTAAGATATGGGCTACTCCACCTTTAGGGAGAACATAGGGACCTACCTGCCGCTGCCGTATCGCCTCGGCGTTATCCGGGTCGCTAACTGAAGACTCCGAACCGGATGATCTGAGAACCGGTAAAAACAAATCCACAAGCCGGTCAGTAGTGCATTCACAGAAGAGTGCATCGCTGGAACCAATATAAGTCGTGATCCTCAATGGTCATCTGTGATAACCGTACACAGATGAACACCACCAACCAAGCCGATCGCCTCTTGTTCTATGCTAAATAGAGCCGCCTCGGCGTGCACCGTGACGGACAGACGCGTCCAGACTAGCTGATCCAGACAGCGACAACAGCAGAGTGGGCTACTCAGCATGTTGAACGACAGCGTCGTGATGGTTCAATTCCAGCTCAGCCCGCGACTTCGGTCGCTGAATTGGTAAGCAGTAAGCACGATACGGACCGCTGCCTATGCCGTTTAAAATTCAGTAGTCTCAGAGCCCTTGAGGAGTGGGTGACCAGCCGGACAGACCGGGGGTGGGGGGGGGGGGGGGGGCAGACGGGGAACACTCGGCGGTGTATGGCATGATGCATATCGGGATGCATATCATGATACATGGTGGCATATCGGGACCTGAACGGAGAACAAGCTCGGAACAAGACACAAAAACTGACCTGAAGGCGACCCGGGTCAGTTTGCGACATTACAGGCCGCCCGTAGGTACTCACAGCGCCGTGTCGATGGTCGGATCCACGGGTGTCGTCACGATCAGCGGGATCCTCCGGCCGGTGCCCACCTGGTGTGACGTCACCGTCAGAGGCAGTGACGTCACGTCGGGCCGCACCAGCCAGGGCAGGTCGGCCGGCGAGACGTCACCCGCGGTACCTGCCACTGACGGCACAGACGCCGGTCACACGGAGAGCAGACAGCTAACGAGCGAAATGAGAACGACATTAACACGTGCAGGCTTTCTGACGATGAACCTGAAACTGGAGCTCTGCAGCTGTCAGTGGGAGTCCTAACAAAGTGTGCCCGATCCCGCCACTAAACGTCTCATGCGTGCCGCTTTGAGCGGCTTTGATTGACTCAGAGCGCACCGGTCCTCCCGCTGCCGAATTCAGCAGTTTCGGTCCAGCCGGCGCATGTTTAACACATTGGGAGAAGCTGCCGTACTTGGTTTGGGTCCAATTTGAATACCCGGCGCCTTTTTGCATTGAGTAGCGGGAGCTCAAAGTGTCCTTACCGTTCGCTGAGATCCCGCGGTACGCGCAGTGCGAGTCGTGGCTCACCTTTTGCGGCTCCGGAGCCGCCGCGGCGCCAGGTCTCCTGCTGGGCGGCCGTGGCCTCTGGCAGGTGGCGCGGGTCCAGCAGGTCCCTGGCCGTCTGCCGCTCCGACCACGCCAGGCCGGCCGCCACCCGCGAGGCGCGGTGCACTCCGTTGACGGCCGGCGGCGCCGGTGGCCGGGCGGTGGCCGGACCGGCAGAGGCCGGCAGCGAGGGACGCCGGCTGACCCCGGGGCTGGCCGGGCTGACCGACAGCAGGTCGACCGAGCCGCGCCGGCCGCCGGGCCGCGGCGGGGCCGAACGTGCCGGCGGCGGAGACGGCGCTGGCGGCTGCCCCGCGGGCGGCCCGTCGCCGGCGGCAGGAGTCGGCCCGGCCTCCTCCGGCGCGTCGCCCGCGTCGCTCTCAGCGGCATCCTCCTCGGGTAGCGCCGTCGGCGGCACGGCGGCGGCGAACACCTCCTCGTCGGCGGCGACGGCCGGCTCCGACTGCCCGCCGGACTCGGCCGGGGGTACCACCTCTATGGAGATGGCGCTGAGCTGACGGCCGCTGCCGATCGAGCCGGCCGAGTGGTGGCGGGGCCTGGTCTCGGGGGTCGGCGGGGACAGGGTCCGACTGCCGGCTGTCGGCAGGGGCAGGGTCCGACTGCCGCCGGGTGACGGCGGGGGCAGCGTGCCCAGACTGCCACTGGGTGACTGCGGACCGGCGGTGGGCGCCGACAGACTGCCGCTCGGAGAGGGCGGCCCAGCTGTCGACTGGCTGTCCGACGCCCACGACTGACTCTCGTCTGAGGAGGGACGGAAAGGACATGAAATTACAGAGAAAGATGTTACTGAAGTGCGCGAGGTTCAGCGCGGTTTGTTGTTGAGCTCAAAGCTATGACATGAAAGGTACAAACTACAAAGCCTATCTCGGCAAATTATTGCTTAGTTCGAATTGCAAATCTCTCCAAACGGTTCCATTAGTCACAAACTGTTCCACTGTGATAATTGCGTACAAGTACCGAGACAAGCGCTGAGTTGCATGACCAACCGATTACTCGGCATCTGGCTGTAGACGGTTCAAGGCGAAAATCTGGACAGGCATGTGATATCTGACCCTGTTCAGGCCTGAACCCACCCCTCGTTAAACGCCACATCAATATCACCTTCTAAACTTTTAGTTCTCTTATCGGCCAGCAGTGCGGCCCAAATGTGAAGCGAGCCGAATCGTTAGCTACCGACGGTGGGCCCGCATAGCGTGCTCTCCTGGACAGACTCCAAGGACAAACGAATGAATAAACGTTTGTTTCTACATGACGTAAAGGTCATATCACGAATGATAACTTGTTCTCGTTTCCAACCCGGGCTGGTGCCTCGCCTTGAGATGTCCATACACAACATCCATCAGGGCGCAGCGCAATTAGTCAGTGTCGTGCTGAGCTCCTCGAGCTCGCTGCAGCGTTCCAGTATTGTTGTTGCACACTGCACCCTTGTTGCAGCATCCCAGAGGTGAATAAAACTCAAAAGCTGTCACCTACGCGATGTCTAGCTGTCGGCAATTTTTCACAAGTCATCTTGAAACAGAAGGTACCATTTTTTGCCGTTTTCTCATCACCTTTGAGGCCAAAAAAGTAAATTTGAAAATGAGGCTAGAATGTTAGAAATAAACTCATCTTTCAAATTTCAGACTCTGGGCATCGCAACGCATCACCATATTTCAATACCTAGTTACACAACAAAAAATAAATCACTATCACTAAACTTACCTATAGGTCTGATCGACTTCCTATAGCTCGTCCTGGCTTCCTGATCCAGTTCAATCAGAACTCGCGAAAGGATTGTCAGTTGTCACTGATTCACTTGTCTTTGCTTCAGTAGTCAAGACCAATTATCAACGCTCCTACCAAGTTTCTAGGACCGATGGTCATGGACCTCCCACCAGTTGTGGCCCAGATGTGACGTCCCCCGTCCCCAGTCGCCCGGTCCCTCCCTACTCCGTCGGCGGCCAAGGCCGCGTCGGTCCCCGCCTCCGCTCAACCGGCGACGAGCGGGGACGAGCTGTCGCGCTATCGCCGTTTTTCCTGCGTTGTCTATGGCGCTTCACAACGCACCGGCTGTCGCACCGGCGGGATTTTTCAGCCCCAGCTGTCTACAAAGAGACGACGCTGTTAAATTTTTGTGCCGTGGTTCATAGTGGTCTTCTATGGGAAGACAGCTCTGATTGTAGCGGAAACGGCCTAGTTATCTACTTTAAATGCATCAACTGAGATGCTCGAATCTGTCTGTTTATTCCTATGGCTGTCGCCTACGCACGCAGGCGAGTAGCAGGGTTTTTTCACCTCTGCAGCATCCTCGACGAGAGCCGACAGAGGGAGCGAGTGCGCGGCGGGACGGAGAGAGGAGGGGAGACAGAGGGAGGGAGGAGGGCGTGGTCGACCCACATTCCAGGTCATTCATAGGGAAGGGGGCGCTTGACTGAGGTGGGGCCAGTAGAGATGGAGCGATAGCCGGCCAATGGGCAGGGCACGGCATCAATAAACGCAACTTACAGCTTACCAGACGGGTGGCAGACGCCGATTAAAATAATGGCGTGACGGAGACAGAGAGACTCGAACGGCAAGCGCTGCGGGGGGTAAATACGAGCGGGAAAGCATCCGGATAGCCTCTGTGGTTTCAGTGGCTACGACGAGCGTCGATTTATTATCACAAAGTTAACGGCAAAACATCATGTGTTACGGGAGTAAGAATCAAGTGATGCCTAATTCGAAGCAAGCTACGCGGACTGGGCCTGGTGATGGGATCACCAAGTGGGGTCCTCTCACCTGTGTCGGAGGGCGCCGGGTGGAGCCGCTCACCTGTGTCGGAGGGGTCGCTCACCTGGGTTGGAGGGCGCCGGGTGAAGTCTCTCACCTGTGTCGGAGGGCGCCGGGTGGAGCCGCTCACCTGTATCAGAGGGCGCCGGGTGGAGCCGCTCACCTGTGTCGGAGGGCGCCGGATGGAGCCGCTCACCTGTGTCGGAGGGCGCCGGGTGGAGCCACTCACCTGTATCAGAGGGCGCCGGGTGGAGCCGCTCACCTGTATCAGAGGGCGCCGGGTGGAGCCTCTCACCTGTGTTGGAGGGCGCCCGGTGGAGCCGCTCACCTGTGTCGGAGGGCGCCGGGTGGAGCCTCTCACCTGTGTCGGAGGGCGCCGGGTGGAGCCGCTCACCTGTATCAGAGGGCGCCGGGTGGAGCCGCTCACCTGTGTCGGAGGGCGCCGGGTGGAGTCGCTCACCTGTATCAGAGGGCGCCGGGTGGAGCCGCTCACCTGTATCAGAGGGCGCCGGGTGGAGCCGCTCACCTGTGTCGGAGGGCGCCGGGTGGAGGCGCTCGGCGCTGGCCGGGTGCGGCAGCCGCAGCGGCGCCGGCTGAGGGCCTTGCCGGCTCGGCGCGGCGTACGACACGCTGCGCGCGATGGTCGGCGGCGAGAGCGCCACTGGCCAGCTGGGTCGGCGCCGCTCGCCGGCCGGGGACGGCGACTCCGTGCGCCGGTAGCGGCCCTCGTGACCAAGGCCCTGGCGCCAGTCACGCCGGTGTGCCATGTACGAGTCTTTGTGGTAAGTCCTACGGAGGAGAGGGAGCGGGAATAAAGCAGTCACATCTGACAGGGTTTGGTTCGTAAACGTGATGCTTCTGCTTTGAAACAACGAACACAATTATCAGCTAACAGTTAATTGCAATTGTCCTGCGTCCCGTTCACTCATAAGATGACCGTGGGTTTGATGCTGTTGGTGGAAATTCAGCAATTATAAAGGAGAAGGATTTTACCGTCCTGAGGATAAAAATGACGAAACTGTGATCTCATTAGAGTGGCATGATGTTCTGTTAACCCTATTCCTGGCGGGCTCCGCCGGGACAAGAAACTGGCGGGGGGGGGGGGGGCGATTCGGCCCCCCCCCCCCTGAGATCTCGAGAACGAAGCAAGATAGCGACAAGCGGTAAACGGCATCGGATACGCACGGCCAAGATCTACAATTTTTACTAAGGTCATTTTCAGGTCAGGTCAAAGATGACGCCACAGGGGTCGAAAAAGTCAAAATGGCGGCGCTAGATATGGAGAGAGTTTTTCTCGAATAACTTTCGAATTAGTCAAGATAGGAACAAACTAAGGGCATCATCGTGATCCTCTCGTCAATCCGCATCGAATGATATATATGTTGACCTCGAAAGGTCAAGGTCAAAGGTTGACCTCAGGTCACGTGACCTCGAGGTCATCATGTATATCATTCGATGCGTCTTGACGAGCTGAACACAATGAGACCATCAACGCGTCTGTATCTTAATCCTGTACGGAGTTATTGGCCAAAAACCTTTGGTGACCTTTGATGACGTCACATGACCTCACAGCTGCCCAACTGCAAAACAGACCTCAAGGTAGTGAAGGTTGATCGTATATGAAGTCATATATGGTATATGGGGCCATTCCGACCCGTTTTAGTGGTAAAAACAGGGAGTTGATTTTTCCCCCATTGACTTATAATGGGGAGGTCGCGAAATTGACCTGACCTTAGGTCACAGATATCAAAATTCTGAGATATACAAATTGCACATACTGGTACCCTAACTAAACCCTGAAGAGAAGAAATTGATCGGTCAAAAACTCTAGCTCTGGCGTGATTGCAAACTTTTCTGAGGTAGGGTCACCAAACCGCCTCTGGTGACCTGACCTGAGGTCAGATCAACTCAAAATTTTCAGACATGTTGCGTAGAAGCCTTTTAGGAAAAGTCAGAAAATTTGAGCTTCCTAGCTCAACGCGTTTGGGAGAAATAACCAAAAAACCTCAGGGGGGGGGGGCTCCTGAGGCCCCCCCCCGCCAGGAATAGGGTTAAGCTGAGCTGTTTACATTGTTGATCGCTTGCAAGACGAAGATTGATTCATCTTGATCATATAAACAAGGACTCCTGCAGTGTTTGATGTGATCTTGTCCGCATCGATTACGGATTGCGAAATACATCACGGTCAAAACACAGGGGCTGAACAGGTTCCAGATCACCCAGGCGACCCAGCAGCCGCCATCACCTCAATCAGTAGACGAGCGTCCCCTACAGCTAGTGATTCGAGTGACCCGTTGACAGCACCCCACAATCCCGGGCCTGACACCATCAGTGACCCGCGACCCGTCACCGGCACCATCTGTGAGGTGTACTCGAGTGACCCGAGCGACCCGGTGACCTGTCGTCTCTGGCATCGGTCCTCACCCCTCTCTGAGGACCCGGCCTGGCCACCTGGCGCCCTGGTCGCTGTCGAGGTCGCTAAATCGCGTCATGTCCAAACAGCCGACTGTGCGGCGCCCTCACCAGCGCGGCGCAGCGGCCAATCCCGCCTACAGAACCTGGCATGAACCCCAGCCAGTCCGGGCATGTCTCACCCCCGGCCGACCTGGCCGGCTATTTCGGACAACCCGACACCGATCCGGGCTAGGGGCGGACGGACGCTTATTTTGTCCTGGCATAACACTGAACTTCGTTTTGGCCGCTGTACACTACTTCGATGGCATGCTTGGAATGACTTCCACCGGCCAACATACATACACATAGTCCTAACGCATTGCCTCCAACAATCAACAGCGCAGCTTCCGTTAGGCATCCAAGAATACCTACCTAGCACGTACCTACTCGTGTATGAAACGCCATTTTCGACTGAACTGCAAGGATTCCGAGCTGTCGCGTTCTACAAATAACCCTTGTCGGTGTCCTTTTAATGTAGTTTAGTATTCAACCGTTATCCATTTGGACTTTTTCTTGCATGAAGAAGCACACTACCTACCCATCGGGAAGTCGCAGGATAAAGACTTCCCTAGCAATTGCCAGCTATTAGTGACAGAGGAGTTCACCGGGTGATGGGGAAATCGAACACGCCTTCTTATTTGCAATTTAAATGCCATTTCCGCAGACGGCCACCCCGCCGATCCTTCATGTCACCGGGAAGCGACTCTGCATGCGGCGCCGGACTGGGGGTGCCGAGACACGGCGCTGACTGCAGGGTCGGCAGGCTGCCTCCGATCTGACTGCGGGGTCGGCAGGCTGCCTCTGATCTGACTGCAGGGTCGGCAGGCTGCCTCCGATCTGACTGCGGGGTCGGCAGGCTGCCTCTGATCTGACTGCGGGGTCGGCAGGCTGCCTCCGATCTGACCCGCCCGGGACCGGTGTATACAGGGTGACTGTCAGCGATAGACGGCCAGGGAGACAGGCCGACCGGGTGGCTCATGAGCACTGCCATGTGATGTCCCGCCGAGGCCAGAGAGAGAGAGAGAGAGAGAGAGAGAGAGAGAGAGAGAGAGAGAGAGAGAGAGAGAGAGAGAGAGAGAGAGAGAGAGAGAGAGAGAGAGAGAGAGAGAGAGAGAGAGAGAGAGAGAGAGTGAGAGAGTGAGAGAGAGAGAGAGAGAGAGAGAGAGAGAGAGAGAGAGAGAGAGAGAGAGAGAGAGAGAGAAAGAGAGAGAGAGAGAGAGAGAGAGAGAGAGAGAGAGAGAGAGAGAGAGAGAGAGAGAGAGAGAGAGAGAGAGAGAGAGAGAGAGAGAGAGAGAGAGAGAGAGAGAGAGAGAGAGAGAGAGAGAGAGAGAGAGAGAGAGAGCTGTGGCCTGTGAGTCACCCATGTCTCAGCGGGACGGGTAATAGCCTATTAACTGGGCATCTCAAACCATTGTTAAACATTTATAAACTGTGGCTGTTTTGCTTGGCCCGATCCGGATAGGACGATTAGCCAGCCGTCCGGTAAGAGGACCAGTGCAGAGGTCTGGACCACCCAGACCAGTGGACCGGACCAGAAGGGTCGGGGGCGGCCGGCCGGAGGGGACGAGCGGCTGGCTAAATCAGAAAGGTCGAGCGGCCGGCCGCAGCAGGGAGCGGCCCGCTCACCCCGTCCAGTGTCGCGCTGTGTTTATTGACACGGGCCGGGCCGTGCAGGCCGGCCAGCGGTGTACACTGGACACGATACACAGTGACCTTGGAGCGGGCCAGTGGTGTACACGATATGGAGTGACCTCCAGAGCGGGACCGCGCCGACTCCGGTCCGACGCACCGTTCGCCGCCCCGCCGCGCTCTTTTGACGCCCACCGGCCGGCTCAGGTGACCGGATCAGTAAATATTCAGCGCGGTGCGCGATGTCGCCACCATGGGCCCTGGCCGGAGTCTGCCCCGGACCCCCGGGGTTTTAACCACGGGACGGCGAGAGCTGGTGCTGGACACAGGCAGCGGGTGTGGCCAGACATCTGTCCAGGCCTGAGACGACAGACTGGCGGTAAATGACGCCCTGGCGCCGGCGATGGAATGTTGATGACGGGCAGAGGCGACCGGGCACGCCTGCAACAATATTGACTGTTTACCACTGGGCTGGTAGGACGGCGATCCGTCTGGATCACATCTAGTGGCGCGACCTCTCCCCTGCACCAGTCACCGGGATGATGAAAGGCCGCCGGAGACTGAGGCTGCACCCGGCCGCAGTGGCAGCCTCAGTAAACTAACGACGCAAATGTCTCGGTGATGACGGCAATGAGCATAGGTACCTATAGAGCAGCGAATCTGTGGTACCGTCAGTTTTCTGTCCAGTCAGTAAATTTCACCGCCAAGTACACATACACAATGCATGGATAATGACAATGTGGATAAATATCAATTCAGTTTGTCATGTATATCAATCAGCACCCGTCATTATGGTCAGAAGGTTTGATGCTTCGGAAGGCATTATGGTTGTCCCACAATTAAACCTAAATTACAATTGCATCCAAATATTGTCGATCATCAGATGAAAGTAAACGATAAAAAACCTACGCATAACGCTGCTTTTTTACCATTTATTTGCTTTTGAGTTAGCTTAATGCCTACACATCAATCTTAAAACATTAACCTCATTCTGATTTAAGGAAATAAGGAAAAATACGCTCATTTTTCTTACTCATGATTTAACAATTTTTCCCACATGCTTTTTGTTTGGGAATGGTCCGCTTGAGTCTCGAGTTTAGCTCAACGTCATGTCAAAGCTAGTCAGGTCAGGAATTTTGAGCAGGTTAGGTGGAAGGAGATCATAAGGCATAACCAAACTGCGAGAACCTGGCGCTTATTACGAGCGAGCGAACGAAGAGAGCGAATTCAATATAACGTTTTAACTATCAAATATTGAGGTTTTAAATATTTACTTCGTCACTAAATGGGTTATCCTGTCGGCAATCTTTTGAAATAAAGAGATAAATAAATAAATAAATAAATAAATAACGGAAAAATCTCAGTATGAGCGGCCCGACCCGACCTGTCGTGCGGTCTTTTTTGTTGGTAGCCCCATTCCTTCTACCCCGTGGTTTACTATTCTTGATGCATTTAGGTGACCGTAGTGGCACGTGCCACGTGCAAAGGCAATGGTGTTCAAGCAGTTCTACAGAATTAGCACTTTTGGGAGCTCTATACCTCAGTAACTGCTTGGGTGATTGACTTGTTGACTGTCATTTTTGTTGGGTAGTTGCATCTCTTCTACCAAAAATCGGATACTCTCGATGCATGCGGGCCATCCCAATGCACGTGCAAAATGCAACAATAAGAGGTGTCAAATTTGTTTCCATTACAATTACTCTGAAATCACCGGGACAACTTCGCTGAAATTTGGCATACAGGTTGGCACCCATTAGGCAATCCATTTCCATGCGTTACGGTTAGGGTGCTACTGCACATGCGCACGTGCTGGGGGCGTTTTCAGATCTCGAGAACGGTTGGGTCGATTGCGCTCAAATTTGGTAAGCAGTTAGGGACCGGCTGGTAGAGTGCCGTGCAAAAGTCAATTGGGACTCAGTTTGCACGTGCGCACGTGCAGGGTGCCGCTTCCAGATCTCGGGAACGTCTGGGTTGATTGCCTTCAAATTTGGCACACCGCTAGTGACCGGTTAGTAGGGTGCTTTGCTTTGCACAAGCCCGTTGGAAGTACTCTCTCCCCCTTCCGCACGTCCAGGGCTCACTCTCTCGCTCGCTCGTTCTTCGCCCAAAAGGCGTTTTACAGGTCTATCTTCCTCGCACAGAGAGAGCGGAGGTTTATTAATTTCAAAGGTATGTTCATAAAGAAGGCTGGTGACCTGATATTACGATCGATGAAAAAAGTCATATCAAATCAATAAGGGTTTCAAAATGCCTCCTTTCAATAGCCTGGCCAGGTTAATGGTTTGAAAGGTACCTACTGACCGTACACAATCCATGTCTAGACACTGAGTGTGAGAGCGAGGAGAGGCGGTGCCGGTACTCACTGCAGCACGAGCGCCTTTAGTTTGTCCATGGTAGACGTTCGCCGGAGTTTGGGCGGGTTCGCCGGGCGCTCCATTTTGAAAGACCGGCTGGTCTCCTGAGACATGATGCAATGCTGTTCTTCGCTCGGTTATCACAGCCCCAATACCGAGACACGATCGGAGACACCGAGACGCGGTGCCTCCGAGAACTGCAGCGGCTGCCTGCCGTTCCGGGAGACGGTGAGTGCTAGCGATACGCTGACTTTTGACACTTTGCTGAAAGTGTGCGTTGGGTTCCCGTTGATGATGCTCTGACCGGCACAGTCTATTGCCGCTGTTTTGCCATGTCTGCCGTTAGCGGTACTTTGACTGGTCACGCTCTATGGCTGCGTTCTCGGCACAGCCGCTTCTGTTCAGTCAGGCTTGTTACCGGTGTGGCCAAAGTATAGTTGGGCCGTCGCATTCGCCTATGAAAAGGCCCGCCTGTCCCGCAGCTGTACGCCTCGCCAGACGTGTTATACGACAATGCCTCCCCCGAAAGCACGCTTGGAAACACTGATCAGTGACGGGAGGACCGTTCCTCTGACTGGGGGCTCGGCTGCTCTGGCTGCGCTCTCCGCTCTTCGCCTCAGTCCTGTGGGGCGGGGGAGGATGGCGGCGGCGCAATCCTTTCCGTCCGGCCCGACAGTCTGTCCGCAGTCCGCACTCCAGACTGGTCGGTGTTCCGCTGACCGGTGTTCCAATGACAGGTGCTCCAATGACCGGTCACGGTATTCCAATGACCGGTGTTCTTCTGATCAGTGTTCTCCCACGAGCACTGTCGAACTCTGGCCTGGAACCGCTCGTCGCAGGCCAGCTCTAGGGTAACTAGCGACTGATGCAGCTGGTCACAACGGTCCAGGCACACTGTCCACGGACTGGAGCAGCCCGGTCACCACTGACCCTGCGGCCGGGTCACCGGCGACTGGTGCGCCGTCGCGCCGGTGTCCGACACGGCGCCGGCAGCCAATGGAGCGGAGCACCACTGCACTGGTGCGGCCTGCACGGCGCTGCAGCGGCAGCGGCGCTCAGCGCACGCCCTGCTCCCGCACACCCGGCGCCGCGCCCTCCGCGGCCGGCGCGCTGCGCTGAATGCGCACCCTGTCGCTCGGCGCTGAGAGATGCAGATCCACCCCGGCTCCACCGCCAGAGATGGTTCGGCGGACCCAGCGGCAGCGTCACCATAAACAGACTAAACGGGGGATGGGTCACTCTGGGCCTCCTCCATATCGCCAAATCGGACGGTCTGTTTGGGAGTCCCGCCTGCTTTGGACGCAGGCGGTGTTCGGTATTCTGGGTGTGGGACTCGCTCAGTTGATGCAGTTGTCAGATGCAGATGTCAGTCAGATGCAGTTGAGACTGGCGCATATACGATCGAGCCGTCAACACTGCACCGGACACTACAGTTGCCGGAACTCCTGACACAGCGGCATCGCTATGGTGAACCGCTGAAGTCACCAGGCCCCAGGGTATGTTGTCTTTGTCAGCGGCGACCCGCGGTCGCTGCACCGACAACGGCGTGCGGTGTACGCTGCTGTATTACTGCTTGTGGAAAGCTTCAACGGGAAATCGACGAATGAAAAACACAGGACTTTGCGAATGAAAGGAGAAGGCAGCTGCTTTCATTGATTTAGCTCCGTTTCAGGTTAGGGTTAGGGTTCATCGAATCACCATGCGTTTTATAATTATATCCATTTCCGTTTCTTCCGGGAAACGCTGAGGAGTTCTTAGCGCTGCAGGTTGTAGCGTTTACGACTAGATTCTCTGGGATAACCGGAGACTTACCCTCTGCAGTCCTTTGTATGGACGAGGACCGGCTAGCAGAACGTACCCATAAATAACACGGTAAATTTGCGGTTGTGTAGCAACAACACAGACAGTCTGATGAGGAGTTTGTCCTGGATCATTGACACTCATATCATACGTCACAGTTCATTGCATGTCTCGCACGAGCACATCCCCCGTCGCCACCCCATCTGGAGCTGTACTCACCCGCCATGTCCGTTGACCGGTCGGAGGTACTGGTTGTATGCGCCGGGACTCAGCGACCAGGCGGTGAAGCCCCAGGTGACCGTCTGTGTCGGCCAGCCGGCGGCGGCCCGGCGCTCCGGGTTGCTGGGGCCGTCAGACGTCTGTCCGGCACTCGACGCCGGTCCGCCGGCACTCGGCGCCGACCCGCCGGCACTCGGGACACTCTGCAGCACCGTGACCTCCACCGGAGTGCCGGCAGCGGTCGGAAACACCGACAGCCGCGCCTGGTGGCCGCCCGGAGCCGACTTGGTCCGAAACACGCGCGTGTGCCCCTCGGTGGGCGGCGAGCGCGGAGGGACCGGCGGCGGCGGCACCGGCGGCCGCGACGACGCGCTGCGACGAACCGCCGCCAAAGTCGGCTTTGAGGCGGTCGGCACCGGCGGCTTCAGCCGGGACGGCTCAGCTGGGGGTGCACGGGCCGTCCGGTCCGCCGCCTCGCAGTCAGTCGGTGGTGGGCGCGGGGCCGACCCCTCACCGCCCAGTCTCGCCGACCCGTGAGGGAGCTGGGACGGCGACTGTGGCGCCCCCTGCGCCGGCCCCAGCAGGCGGAGCACGGGCGGCGCCACCTGCGGCGGAGGCCGGGCCGTGGCCGGCGCCTGCGGCCGGCGCTTCCTGGGCGGCCGGAGCGGCGGCCGCTGCTCCCGCCCCTCGGCCACCTCCATGACGTCACACAGTCCAAGGCTGGAATGCGGCAAAAGCGGGCCATCAGCTGAGCGCGCGGTGAGTCACACACCTGCAAATGAATGGCGAGCGGGCGCACTGGAGAGTTGTCGGAGGAGCTCGGGAGATGACGAGCTCTCACGGCAGACGGAAAACAGCCTGGGGAGTGAGAGAGAGCTCGGCTGGCAGCGCTGGGAGGTCAGCCACCCTGCAGCGCGAGGCGCCGGCGGTGGCGGGTCTCGGTGCTGCCCTCAGCGGCAGAGGGGCGCGGCGCCGAGCCCGCAGCCCTGGGATATGGCAGCAAAGGAAACCGGGGAGGAGGTGGAGCTGCAGGTCCAACAACCAACAGAGTTGCATACAGCAATGTCAACACGAACATGAAAAAATGAAATAAACACGGTAACGTTGCTTTCTCATGCATGATGCAGTAGCCGCTCACATCTGTCGAGCTACTCATTGGCGTGTTATGTCATAGCGTTGCACTTTACCAATTCAATTAACTTACCCCTCGCCGGGCCTATTGGTTTTCTACGAGTGGTTTTCTACGTTTTCCACGTGAGAGCATACGCGTTGCCCGAGGGGGTGGGGTTGGTACGACCCCCCTCACCGTTTCGTCTCTGGTGGAGCTAGAGCGTCACGGAAAAAACGAGCGTGTGCGCCGTTACAAGACACAGCAAATGGTACCCGATTTTAAGGTCTAAGGTCAAACGGGTTTCTCTGAGGTCAGGCCAAGTGACGCGTTCAGTTTTCCACAAAACTTCGAAAAAAAACGGTCGCAGAGCCGCGATTTTGGCATCATCGTGTTTGCCTCGCTCAGGCGCGTCGAATGGTACATATACCTACTTTTTGTTCGGGTGAGGTCATTTAAGGTGTTCACCTCGGGTCAAGGTCAGGTCAGCGCCCCCAGGTCACGAAGTTGGTCGGAGGAGGCATTCTGCATAGCATTCGATTTAGCAGGGGTCTTCCTGAGTCTATTGGTGACTTTCCCGACTCGCTAGCTCAATTTGATCGGGAGTTATTGACGAAAAACTCTTATGACCCAAGTGACGTCATAAATGACGTCACTGACGTCACTCAAGGTCAACAATGCAAAAGTGAAGCATCGAACCTTGCAAGGAGAGCATGAAATCACGATTCCATGTGCTTCAGGTAATTTGAGATCGTTCCCGGCGCCAGATAAGCAGTTTTCATTTTTCCCCATTGACTTATAGGTAATGGTGAAGTCACGAAAATGACCTGACCTCATATGACCTTTAGGAAAAATCCGAGATAAACAAGTTGTGCGACTCGTAATGTATATTAGATCCTGCAGTGAGGATCCTGCGTAAGTTTCTCTGGCATTGAGGGCGTTGCGAAGTTATGACATCTGAAGACCGTGCAGAGGTTCACTTATGACGTCATAGGCCAGTGACCTGACCTGACCTGAAAATGCGGTTGTTATCAAAAGATCCGGCTTGAATCAAAGGTCAGGTATGCCAAGTTTCAGCTCTCTATCGCCAGCGTGTTTGGAGCTATCGCGAAAAAAGACATGTGGGGGGCGGCACCCGCCCCTCCCCTTCGGCCGGCGAAGGATATAAACCGAAGGAGGGACAACTGCTTACCAAAAAGTCACTTCGCCTACTGCCCGAGCCCCATAGGATGAGATGGTTGACAGCGTTGCAAGTTTTCAGATTTCTGAGCAATTGCGAATCACGAAGTTGAGGATTTAACGAAGTTACCTCTCGGCTCTCCTTACCCTATTCTGATATTTTTTTCGTTATAGCTAAGCCCGTCGGTTACGAAGAAACGTTAGCGGATATAGAGTTATTCCATGACACAGACATTCAGGCATGTTACTTTATTTCCACCGGTAAAACTAATCATTGAAATTGTGCAGCGTACCTAAATACTCATATCATGCATGAAAGATACCATGCAGCCAGTCTGAGACATGATGGGTCGGGAGACTTCCATTTCGCGTCTAGCTAGACGCTTCTAAGTCTTAGACGCGTCTAGCTGGACGGCCGCTGCGGTCTATCTGGCGACGGCTAAATTTAGACGCGTCTAGCTTGGAAGTCTCCGTCCAACAGTTAGACGCCTAGTTAGACGCCAACTCGGACGTCTGCTCAGTTAGACGCCAGTTGGACGCCAGTGGAAGTCTCCACCCGATATCTTTCAGGGTGTTGCGCAGCTCGCTCGTTGTGATGGCAACCCGGGCCGACACAGCAGCCCGGCTCGTTAGCTGTTGTCTGCGTTGTCCTGTTGCGAGAGCTTTATGTCAATAGGTCCGTCTGTTTGGAGCTCGTCACTACAGGGAAACGCACTGGAAGGCGAGCGTGACATCCCGAGCGACAGCTCAGCAATGATCGGTACGTCTCTGTCTCTCACTTTATTTAACACTTAGCTGGAAATCTGTCGAACCAATGTCCATGCGGCAACGGGCTGGGCATTGTCGTTACAGTTCGCCTAACCCTCGCCGGCCGAGTTTTTTTCGCGATAGCTCCGAACACGCTGGCGATAGAGAGTTGAAACTTGGCATACCTGACTTTTGATCCAAGCCGCATCTTTTGACACCAACCGCATTTTTGGGTCAGGTCAGGTCACTGACCTATGACGTCATAAGTGAACCTCTGCACGGTCTTCAGATGTCGCAACTTCGCAACGCCCTCACTGCCAGAGGAGATGTCACAGGGAAATGAAACTTGCAGGATCTAGTATCCATTATGAGTCTCACAACTTGTATATCTCGGATTTTTCCCAAAGGTCATATGAGGTCAGGTCATTTTCATGACCTCACCATTATAAGTCAATGGGGAAAAATGAAAACTGCTATTCTGGCGCCGGGAACGATCTCCAACTATCTCAAGCACACAGAATCGTGATTTGATGCACTCCTTGCAAGATTAGATGCGTCAATTTTGCAATGTTGACCTTGCGTGACGTCATTTATGACGTCATCAAGGTCATATTAGTTTTTCGTCAATAACTCCCGATCAAATTGAGCTAGCGAGTCGAGAAAGCCACCAATGGACTCACGAAGACCTGCCGAATCGAATGATATGCGACATGACCTCTTTTGACCAACTTCGTGACCTGGGGGTGCTGACCTGACCTTGACCTGAGGTCAACACCCTAAGTTGACCTGACCCGAACAAAAAGTATTTCATTCGACGCGCCTGAGCGAGGCGAACACGATGCTGCCAAAATCGCGGCTCTGCGGCCGTTTTTTGCGAAGTTATTCATCAAAAACTGAACCGTACCCTGGGGCACTTGACCTGACCTCAGAGGTCACCGGTTGACCTAGGACCTTAAA